AATAAGTGATGAGAAGTTCTAACTTTAAGTTTCTACTAAAAATACAAAATTAGCTGGGCGTGGTGGTGCATGCCTATAATCCCAGCTACTTGGGAGGCTGAGACAGAAGAATCGCTTGAACCTGGGAGGTGGAGGTTGAGGTGAGCCGAGATCGCATCATTGTACTCCAGCCTGGGCAACAAGAGCGAAACTCCGTCTCCAATCAATCAATCAATCAATAGGACAATTCTTCCTTACAGAAAAATTCCAAATAATAAATGTAGAAGGAAAGAGGAAAATAGAAAACCACCATTAACATACTACAATAATAATTAGTTCTAGGTAAGACCCATTGATGAACGTTGAAATTAGTGGGTAAGGCTTGATGCAGTGGCTCATGGCTGTACTCCAAGCACATTGGAAATGTGAGGCAGGAGGATCACTTGAGTCCAGGAGTTTGAAACGAGCCTGGCCAACATATCGAGACCTTGTTTCTACAAAAAAGAAAAAAAAAAATTAGCTGGGTGTGATGGCGTGCACCTGTAGTCCCAGCTACCTGAGAGGCCGAGACTGGGAGATCTCTTGAGCCGAGGAGTTTGAGGCTACAGTGAGCTGTGATTGGGCCACTGGTGACCAGCCTGGGCATCAGAGCAAGACCCTATCTCTAAAAAATAGTGTTACGGTCATGAGAGACCAGAATAGACTGAGAAGCTGCCATAGTTTAGGGGAGACTAAGGTGATATGACAGCTAAATGCAACATGGTATCCTGGATGGGATCCTGTAACAGAAAAAGGATATTAATGGAAAACTGGTGAAATCCAAATAAAGTCTATAGTTAAAAGCAAACAATAAGCCACCAGCCCCCTGACTGCACCCCTCAAAAAAAAAAAAAACTAACAGAAAAACCCCACAAAGCTCCTGGTTCCTTCCTGCCTAAGATCCAAATGGCATTGTCTAGAGCACCTCAGTTCTGGCATTTATATTCTAGTTCTGAATTCCTGTTACCTTTGGGAAAGACCTTTTGGTTGTGTAGTGCTTATGTCTGGGAAGCTCTGACGAATTTGGGGACAGGCTTGTGGTCTATGTAACTCTCAAAGCCTGTCTACCCATTGAACAGAATGCTACTCAGCAGGCTGAGGACAGGGGTGTGCACATGGATCCGCCTACTCCAACCCCAGTCCTTGCTGGTACTGGATGTTACAAATGACATTCCCGCTATCAGGAATCTTCCCTGGACCCCCAACCTTTTTTGTGTGTGTTTTTTAATAGACGGAGTCTCACTCTGTCGCCCAGGCTGGAGTGCAGTGGTGTGATCTTGGCTCACTGCAACCTCCGCCTCCTGGGTTCAAGTGATTCTCCTGCCTCAGCCTCCCGAGTAGCTGGGATTACAGGCACCTGCCACCATGCCTGGTTAATTTTTGTATTTTTAGTAGAGACTGGGTTTTGCCATGTTTGCCAGGCTGGTCTCGAACTCCTGACCTCAGGTGATCCTCCCGCCTCAGCCTCTCAAAGTGTTGGGATTACAGGCATGAGCCACCACGCCCGGCCCCCAACTATCTTTTAAGGTATTACCTTTAGACATTCTGCTTATCTTTCAAGGCCTGACTCACATTTTACCTCCCATATAGTTCCTGCATGATCATCACATGTATTAGTGTCTTTCAAATTCCTGTGATGTCGTCAACCTTAAAGTTCTTTATATCTGTTGATCTGCCCTTCCTGTGATATTTAGCACACCTTGCCATGTTGAGTCTATCTGTGTACATGCCCTGTCTCCCTAAGCAGAACACAAACTTCTTGAAGGGAAGGAGTCTTACAAAACCTTCTAAACTTCTTGAAGGGAAGGAGTCTTAGAAATATCCCTTGAAGCATCTAGGATAGTGCTTGCCATAAGCCCTCATGAAATGACTGGCAAGTTTGAATGAGTGAATGCTTTACGACACTGAAAGGAGTAATATTGTCCCTGTTGGCAGATGAGAGGTGAATGGACTTGCTTAAAGTCATACAACTGATTATGAGCTATATTTGGAGCCTGGCTGCTCAGATTGTCCCTTTCTGAGCATTCTGAGGCCATGAAACTTCCTCACTCTGATCATAGCACTAAACTATAGTAAGAGTGATGGCTATCATTTGTTGTGGGCTTACTCTGGGCCAGGCTTGGTTCTAGGCATGCACACTATTCAGTCCTCACAATAGCTCTGAGGTATGGGCCTCACTATCCTCATTTTGTAGATACATCCACTGATGTTCAGAGAGATATAAATAATTTGCCTTAGATTCCCAGCTAATAAGTTGCTGAGTTGAGATTTGAACCCAGGTGTGTCTGGCATCAAAACTCATTCCCCCTCACCCCTGTAAAGCAATGTCTTTCCCTTTGTTTTTTCAGACCCATCCCTGGAAGGCATGTGTGGCACTGAGCATGCCCAGTTGGGAGAAGATGGGCAGCAGCCACCGCGGTGCACTTCAACTACCTCATCTCAGTCTGAGCCTTCAGAGCAGCTTAGGCACCACCAAGGCAAGAACCTAGTCTCAGAGGACCCCAAAAAGAAGAGAGCTCAGAAGCCCTCCCACATGAGAAGAAACATACGGTGAGCTGTGCTCTGTGTAAGAGGAGAGGGAAGGGAATAGAGGTTTTACCTTCATCTTAAGGCTGTCAATAGCAGAAAGACTGATTTGGGAAGGAGAATTCTCTCTCCAAAGGAGAAAAGTGTCAGGTGTGTGTCTCCATTAATAGTGAAGGTGCAGCTCAGGATCACTGGACTTGGGCTTTCAGAGGACTGTAGGGAGAATGAGAAAGGCCTTGACCACTGTGGGAGGGTGTTCTGCTCTCTGGAGACCCCAGGTGGCAGCCCAAAGATGATAAGGTGCTCTCAGCTGGACTTTCCGGTTTTTCCTCTATTTTTCTTATGTCTCAAAACAAGACTTTACAAGTTGAGTTCTCATCTTCTTAGATGTCAACTTCTAATGGTAGAGGACTGTCTGACCCAAAGCAAGGCTCCTTCTAAGAGCAAAAATGTGAACTTCTTTAACTGTCCAAATCCCCAACAGTTCTTCCTTCTATCAAATAACAATATGTGCCATTGAAAGGAAATGAGTGATATCTTTTTCTCCTTCTGCCTCCACTTAAAAAAGAATAACAATAATGCCAACTTGAAATATTACTCTGAGTTTGAAAATAATATAAAATCCCTGTAACCTTAGTTTCTTTTCTTTTTTTTAAATTTCTTTTCTTTCATTTTTTTGAGATAAAGTCTCTCTCTGTTGCCCATGCTGGAGTGCAGTGGCGCAGTCTCGGCTCACTGTAACCCCCACCTCCCTTGTTCTAGCAATTCTTATGCTTCAGCCTCCTGGGTAGCTGGAACCACAGGTGTCCACCACCACCCCTGGCTAATTTTTGTATTTGTAGTAGAGACAGGATTTTGCCATGTTGGTTCAACTGGTCTGGAACACCTGGCTTCAAGTGAACTGCCCACCTTCGCCTCCCAAAGTGCTGGGATTTCAGGCATGAGCCACTGTGCCCGGCCAATCCTAGTTTCTTTTCTACATGACAATACTATTATTATTTTTTTTTTTCTTGAGATGAAGTCTCACTCTGTCACCCAGGCTGGAGTGCAGTGGTGTAATCTTGGCTCATTGCAACCTCTGCCTCCCAGGTTCAAGCGATTCTCCTGCCTCAGCCTCCTGAGTAGCTGGGACTACAGGTGTGCACCACCACACCTGGCTAATTTTTGTATTTTTAGTAGAGACGGGGTTTTGCCATGTTGACCAGGCCGGGCTCGAACTCCTGACCTCAGGTGATCCACTTGCCTCAGTCTCTAAAGTGCTGGGATTATAGGCGTGAACCACTGCGCCTGGCCAACAACACTATTTTTAATACTGCTTTTCAGCTTTGTGAATCAAATATTACTCTAGTTTATTCTTGATCTGTTATGTGGAGAGATGAGTTGGCAGGGGCATCTGTCAGGGAGTTAAATAATATGGAAAGTATGTTTTTCTAGAGCCATCTGAGCTTGATGTCCTATTTTTTTAATGCTGTTCCTTGCATGGGTGTGGTGAGGCTGATGTGGCTTCTCTTTCTCCTGCCTCAACTCTCTGAGATCAGCAATGGCTATTTCTCTCTTTATCTTGCCATTACATTGCCCAAATCTTAATTGAACCCAAGTGCTGTCTCTTATGTGAATGTTTAGAAAGCTACTCCGGGAGGATCAATTGGAGCCTGTTACCAAAGCAGCACAGCAAGAAGAGTTGGAAAGAAGGAAGCGCCTGGAGCAGCAGAGGAAAGATTATGCAGCCCCTATTCCTACTGTTCCGCTGGAATTCCTCCCTGGTAAGCAGTGGACATGGCAGGGAAGGCCCTTTGCTTCAGGAGGAAGAAGCCCTAGGTGCACACAGTGGTCAAAAGCAGATCTGGAATAAGATTGTGGCCTCTTGGCTGGGTGCTGTGGCTCACGCCTGTAATCCCAGCACTTTGGGAGGCCGAGGCAGGTGGATTGCCTGAGGTCAGGAGTTTGAGACCAGTCTGGCCAACATGGTGAAACCCCATCTCTACTAAAAATACAAAAAAAAAATTCGCCAGGTATGGTGGCGTGCACCTGTAATCCCAGCTACTAGTAGGCTGAGGCAGGGGGAATAGCTTGAACCAGGGAGGTGGAGGTTGCAGTGAGCTGAGATTGTGCCACTGTACTTCAACCTAGGCGACAGAGTGAGACTCCATCTCAAAAATAAATACATAAATAAATAAAAATAAAATGATTGTGGCCTCTCAGGAATCCTTTAAAGTCATTCAGCTTCTTGAGAGCACACAATCAGAAGAAAATCATCTAAAAGCTAAAATGAATAAAAATGTACTCTTTAAATAGGTTTTTATCTAGATTTTTTCTCATAACTTTGGATTTTAACTTGCCAAAAGATTGGGACCTTTTCTAGTGGTCAGGTGGATAGCAGGAAGAAAAAACCAGTAGAGAAAGGGAATTTGGAAGGAGGGCTGAGGTTTTTGAGATGGGCTCTGTTTCTCTTCTTGGTGGATACTCCCCAAGAGAGCTATAAAAGAAAAGGGGTGGTGAATTGTTTTGGGAAATATGTTAGAGCCAAATGTGGTCTTGACATCGTTCCCTTCCATTTTGCTTTTCCTAGAGGAAATTGCTTTAAGAGCAAGTGATGGTCCCCAACTGCCTCCTCGGGTCTTGGCCCAGGAAGTCATTTGTTTGGACAGTAGCAGTGGCAGTGAGGATGAAAAAAGCAGTCGAGATGGTAAGATGAAACCAACCTCCCTTTCTCCCGACCTGGTGTTCATGCTGAGATTGACTGTACTTTGAAAAGAGTCCAGTCCTTCCTCATTCAGTTTGGGATGTGGCTTTGACTAATTTCCCTGTGTCTCATTGGTAAATATAAGTTTTTTGCTTGTCTTAACTTGAGCTGAAAGACAGAAATAGTAAAAGTCAAAATTTTAATAAGTGATGAGAAGTTCTAACTTTAAGTTTCTGTAGTCTTCTGTTCTGACTGTGTGCCGTAAATTATCTTCACTCCCTGGATTTTTGGTTTTGCTTTTTTTGCTGTCTCAGAGGTGATAGAACTGAGCTCTGGAGAGGAGGACACTCTGCATATTGTGGACAGCAGTGAGTCTGTCAGTGAAGACGATGAGGAAGAAGAGAAGGGTGGCACCCATGTCAATGATGTCTTAAACCAGCGTGATGCCCTTGGGCGGGTCCTTGTCAACCTAAACCACCCTCCAGAGGAGGAAAATGTCTTCCTTGCCCCACAGTTGGCACGGGCTGTGAAACCTCATCAGGTACAGCAAACCTTGACTGTTTCTCCTTTTCCTTTTTGTTTCCTTGTTATGAACATTGCCTGCTGGTGGTTGTTAGCGTCACAGCCTGTGAAGTACTTGTTTGGTACCAAGAGCAGCTTGTTCAGCTATTGAAAAGACCTGCTACTTCCTTCCAGCAGTTGATGCTTCAGGATTCCTGATGAATAGGAAGGGATGGGGAAAGGGAAGAGACAAGCTTCAGGTTTGCCCTACCCCGTAGAAAGCACTGGATCTCTTGACCTAATAATTTGAGCCTCTTTCTGTGGGATCCCATGACTGAGGTGGTCTCTGGCGAGCAGTGCTTTGATTAGGAAGGTCTGTATCTAGAAGAGATGTGAGAGTCAGAAGATGGAGGGACTTTCTGATAGGAGGGAGTAGAGTAGTTTGTGTTGATCCAGACCCTGGAACCAGGACTGGTGAGTAAAAGTTCCATGAAGACAGACATTGACTCAGTTTACAATTAAGAACTTTTTTTTTTTTTTTTCTGAGACAGGGTCTTGCTCTGTTGCTCAGGCTGGAGTGCAGTGGCACAATGTCTGCTCGTTGCAGCCTTGACCTCCCTGGCTTAAGTGATCCTCCCTCCTCAGCCTCCCAGGTAGCTGGGATTATAGGCCTATACCACCACACCTAGCTAATTTTTTTTTTTTTTTTTTTTTGTAGAGATGAGGTTTCACCATGTTGCTCAAGCTGATCTTGAATTCCTGAGCTCAAGTGATCCACCCGCCTCAGCCTCCCCAAGTGCTGGGATAACAGGCATAAGCCATTGTGCCTGGCTGAGAACTTTTTGTTTTTGAGACAGACTCTTGCACTGTCGCCCAGGCTGGAGTGCAGTGATTATGACTTCCTGCAGCCTTCACTTACTGGGCTCAGGTGATCCTCCAACTCAACCTGAATAACTGGGACTATAGCCTCCTGCCACCATGCCCAGCTAATTTTTAATTTTTTTGTAGAGATGAGGTCTCACTGTGTTGCCTAGTCTGTTTTTGAACTCCTGAGCTCAAGTGATCCTCCTGCCTTGGCCTCCCAAAGCATTAGGATTACACGCATGAGCCGCCGTGCCTGACCTAGTAACTGTATTTTTGTACCCATTAGCCAACGTCTCTTCCTCCCCCTCCTCTCCCTTCCCAGCCTCTGGTAATTACCATTCTATTTTCTACTTCCATGAGATTGACTTTTTTAGCTCTCCCACATGAGTGAGAATGTGTGATATTTGTCTTTCTGTGCCTGGCGGGTTTCATTTAACATAATGACCTCCAGTTCCATCCATGTTGCTGCAAATAACAGGATTTCATTTTTCATGGCTGAATAATATTCCATTGTGCATAGGCACCACATTTTCTTTATCCTTTCTTCCACTGATGGACACTTGCGTTGATTACATATTTTGGCTATTGTGCATAACTCAGCTTAAAAACTCTGCTGCTGTTGTTGTTGTTTTTGAGATGAAGTCTCGCTCTGTAGCCCAGGCTGGAGTGCAGTGGCACAATCTTGGCTCATTGCAATCTCTGCCTCCCAGGCTCAATGATTCTTCTGCCTCAGCCTCCCAAGTAACTGGGATTATAGTTGTGTGCCACTGTACCCGGCTAATCATTTGTACTTTTAGTAGAGACGGGGTTTCACCATGTTCGCCAGGATGGTCTTGAACTCCCAACCTCAGGTAATCTGCACACCTTGGCCTCCCAAAGGTCTAGGATTACAGACATGAGCCATCGAGCCCAGCCTTAAGAACTCTTTAACAGGCTGGGCGTGGTGGCTCACACCTGTAATCCCAGCACTTTGGGAGGCCGAGGTGGGCAGATCACCAGGGCAGGAGATTGAGACCATCCTGGCCAACATGGTGAAACCCTGTCTCTACTAAGAATACAAAAATTAGGTGGGCATGGTGGTGCATACCTGTAGTCTCAGCTACTCTGGAGGCTGAGGCAGGAGAATTGCTTGAACCTGGGAGATGGGAGGTCGCAGTGAGCTGAGATCGCACCATTGCACTCCAACCTGGGTGACAGAGCGAGACTCTGTCTCAAAAACAAAAACAAAAACAAAAAAAACTACTCCTATGGAATGGGCTGCCTTAAGAGGGTGAGCTTCCCAACGCTGAGGGAAACCAGACTGACTGAAAGATCCTGTCAGGAATTTGACACTACTGATTCATGCATTACATGGGGCATTACACTGTACTAGTGAATGCTTTTCTGTTTTTTCCAAGAGGACTGTCACCAGCAAATAGACCAGTCAAGGTACAGGGAATCTTCTATGGCCATCCACACCTGCTATCTATTATAATGCCTTCTCATTTACTTAATTCTTACTAATTACAAAGTGAGTAAAAACTGGAGCCCTCATCTTTTTGAGCCCCTCTGACATTTGTCTTTGTCCCTTGTCAGATTGGCGGAATCCGGTTCCTTTATGATAACTTGGTGGAATCCCTGGAGAGGTTTAAGACCAGCAGTGGCTTTGGCTGTATTCTGGCCCACAGCATGGGTCTGGGGAAAACTTTGCAAGTGATCTCTTTCGTCGATGTCCTCTTCCGCCACACGCCAGCCAAAACAGTCCTTGCCATTGTGCCGGTAAGAGTTTTTGGGAAGGCACCACTTAAGTCACTCCTCTGAAGAGCTCTGCATTAATGCCTTTACTGGGCACCAAAAGGCTTGATGAGCTCAGCTCTGAGTTTGTTCCATAAAACTCTCTTTTTGGACTTGGCTTTCTAATAGGTTAATACTCTTCAGAATTGGCTGGCAGAGTTCAACATGTGGCTTCCACCTCCTGAAGCCCTCCCGGCTGACAACAAGCCTGAAGAAGTCCAGCCTCGGTTCTTTAAAGTTCACATCTTGAATGATGAGCACAAGTAGGTGGCCTGCCCTTTCCTCTCTGCCCCTTTCCTTTTAGACTTCTGTCCAGAATCTGATGTTAAGACAGTCTCTTTGAGTATGTAGCCTGTGCATCCAGATTTGTTTTGGTTTCTTGATGTGTCACTTTCTCTGTTCTTGCTACTCATTTTTTTCTCTACCTAGCTTTTCAGGAAAGCCAGAGTTAAGTAGCCTGAGAAATTTCCTGTGTTCTGCTTTAGGAGGCTTTTATATCTTGAAAAATATGTGGGGATGGTCATATTTTCCCCATGCATGTTGTAGTAAAATTCAACACGAAACAATGCATCTTTCCATTGTCAGATTTTTTTTGTTTTGTTTTTTGAGACGGAGTCTTGCTCTTTCACCCAGGCTGGAGTGCAGTGGTGCGATCTCAGTTCACTGCAACCTCTGCCTCCTGGGTTCAAGTGATTCTCCTGCCTCAGCCTCCCGAGTAGCTGGGTTTACAGGCGCCCACCACCATGCCCGGCTAATTTTTGTATTTTTAGTAGAGACAGGGTTTTGCCATGTTAGCCAGGCTGGTCTCGAACTCCTGACCTCAGGTGATCCACGCACCTCGTCCTCCCAGAGTATTGGGATTACGGGCGTAAGCCACCGTGCCTGGCCTCTACTGTCTAATTTTTTACTTACTACATTTCACTTTTCTTAAAAACCTAATCATTAGTCACTTCTTTTAGGCACTGGTCTGCAGTTGACCTTTAATGGTACAACTCCCAAAGCTTTGAAGGGTGTAAGCCTCGCTTTGTTTTAGATTTAAATAAAATTATCTATCTATGTATGCCATAAAGTCAACCTGATTTCCAAAAGTCTAAAGCTATTTCTTGGTTCAACAAACCAGCTCTATATGCTAACCTTTCCCCTCATTGGTATGGATAATTGAGAAGGTAGACTTACTGTATTTTTTGCAGAGGGTGCCTTTTGTGATGTTTGGACACACATAAAAATGAGGAGATGATGAGTTGACCTCACAGGTGGTTGCTCTGCTTTCGTAGATTTCAGGACTTTTAGTCCACATGCAATCAATGAAATACAGTGAGGGCTCTGGTGTTTGGAAGTGGAGTGACTTACTGAGGGTCATCTGGTCTCTTCTCTTTCCTCTTTACTGTTTGTGGCTCTTTATTCACTTGAGCCCAGGCAAGTAAACTGCAGAATGTTGCCCTTCCTTCTGTGACCTTGTATTTATCATGGGATTGAAATGCTCCTTCAAATGTTGAGTTGTAGTCATGCGTGAATATCCAAGGGGATTTTCATTTTCTGTTGCCTTATGTAGTTGAATTGCTATGTTTCTTGTTGTTTAACCACCATCAATGATCCAGTTCATCCTGAGTGCAATTAGTTTCTCTGAGATGATGGGAGGTCCTTGGGTGGTAGGCTAGCTAGCCCTGTGCTTGCTGCCACATGAAATCTTTGGTAATAAGAAGTTCTGAATGTACATCAACACAGCTTTGATTGTGAGCAATTCTTCCTTGGGAGCAGTGGAAACAATAATTCTTGAGATATAATTCACATCTCACACAATTTTCTCTGTTTACCTTGCAGGACGATGGCATCTCGTGCTAAAGTAATGGCTGATTGGGTGTCAGAGGGTGGGGTGCTACTGATGGGGTATGAGATGTACAGACTCCTCACTCTGAAGAAATCATTTGCCACAGGTAGACCGAAGAAAACCAAGAAACGTTCTCACCCAGTCATCATTGATCTAGATGAGGAAGATCGGCAGCAGGAGTTTCGGAGAGGTGGGCAGCCTATCCCAGGAATACTCTTGTTGGTGTTTCACGAAAAAAGAAATCATGTCTACTAATAGCACCTAGTCAGATGTAAAGGGCATTATTGATGTGAATTTGTTATCATGGATCAAAAATCCTGGTTCCCAAGATGAGTAGGATGACTTCCAATGGCTCTTAGAAGGTACTGCTTTCTCTGCCAGCTGTGCAGTTATGGTTAGGCCAGGCCACACACTGACTTGGGGGAGATTATTCCTCTGTTCGTCTGTCCCTGTTTCTCTCACAGAACAGTTGGAATAGTAACCATTTCCTTTACCACTTTCTAGAGATGTTCTGAGAAAGCATGAAGAAAATATAAAGTGTTTAAATCACTAATATAAAGACAAAGTAGTAATACTATTGTTTGTGAATTTATAAAAAAGAATGTATCCCAGTTGCTTTTAGTGAAAACCATTCCTGTCATAGTTCTAATTCTACTCCATCTTCTAAGGGGCCTTTGCTCATTTGCGAAAGAAAGTTTTTAAGGGCTCAGAGGCCATTTCACTTTATAAGTCTCTTCATCTATGAGATTATGTTTGTTTTAGGTTTGCTTCTATGGTAGAGCTGGGATGAATTTGCCATTTAGCAATGACTGGAGAATAACTGCGGGAAGACCCTGTCCTTTAGCTAGCTCTTACCAGCCAGCCTTCAGATGGAGTCAAGACGCTGGCAATGGTGAGAGCCCACTAAAGTGTCTGGATTATTCCCATTGGTTTCATCCAGATGCATTTTTAATCCTAGGCTGGCACTCTGTAAGGTCCCTCTCTCTGCTGCCCAGTTGGTCCAAGCCCTAGGAATGCAAGTCAGTTATACTTTTCACATAAAGAAAAACAAAGTAAGGAAAGGAACAGGGGAAAGGGATATTTATTGCAAGAGTCAACTGCCAGATTAGCGTCATACCAAGTCATACCAGTCATATCCAGGAGCTTGAATGGCTGGCACCCTCTCAGCAAGGGGGGCTGACTCTTGCTTCCTGCTTCCTTCATTTCTTCTGTCTTCTCCAGGGTGCACCCCTACTTCTCATATTATTGACTAAGAGCAGGCCCTGTCACCCTCTGACTCCGGATCCTCTTCCCTCCCTAGAGTTTGAGAAGGCTTTATGCCGCCCTGGCCCTGATGTAGTAATCTGTGATGAGGGACACCGCATCAAAAACTGCCAGGCCAGCACCTCACAGGCTCTGAAGAATATCCGCTCTCGCCGCCGGGTGGTGCTGACTGGGTACCCTCTGCAAAACAACCTCATTGAGTACTGGTGCATGGTGGACTTTGTGCGCCCAGACTTCCTTGGCACCCGGCAGGAGTTCAGCAACATGTTTGAACGCCCTATCCTGAACGGGCAATGTATTGACAGCACACCTCAGGACGTCCGCCTCATGCGGTACCGGAGCCATGTCTTGCACAGTCTTCTGGAGGGCTTTGTGCAGAGGTGAGCCATCCTCAGGGTCCTGCTTCCTGAATTTTCAGAGGGCCCTGTTGCCAAGGGCATGCCAAGCCTGTTATATAGGATAGGATGTTGGAGTAGGAGGGCCCCTTCCCTGAGGCAGTAGTAAAACTTTGCTTCCTGTGACAAGCTAGCAGATGGTGGATATCCACTGTTTCAATTCTCTGAAAGTTTGGCCTAGAAGTGCTTCTCTCAAAAGTTATCTTTAAAGGTACTGGAGACACCTCTCTTGCTGAGAGAAGCAAGAAAAAGGTACCATTTTGCTGACTTACCTTAGGCTAGTCTAAAGCAGATCCCTCATTTTTACTTGTTGAGATGGCATATGGAGTGAAAGCTCAGAGAGGCAGCCCAAATTAAAGTAAGAACCTCAGGTTCCCCTGTCTCTGTCATGCAGTCAGACATGACCTGGGACAGGTCAGTCTGCCTCTTAGTGTTAGTTTTCATCCTTAAGGTGAGTTTCTTCTTGCTTGTTGAACCGCTCTGCATTATTGCAAGGCTGCAGTGCATGTTGAGATCCTCAAGAGGGAGGTGTGGTAGGAGTGCAAAAGGCTCTGTTTTTATCTTGCTGTGACCCCTCCTGGCCACACTACCTTGCCATTTCTGATCTGTTTGCCTCCGTAGGAGAGGCCACACTGTGCTGAAGATTCATCTCCCTGCCAAGGAAGAAAATGTGATCCTTGTGCGGCTCTCCAAGATCCAGCGAGATTTGTACACGCAGTTCATGGATCGCTTCCGGGACTGTGGTAGCAGCGGTTGGCTGGGGCTGAACCCCCTTAAGGCATTCTGCGTGTGTTGCAAGGTGCATTGGGGCCTCAGGAAAGATTGAGATGGGTACTAAGGATACACATGGTCCCAAGGGAGTTACTTCTACTGAGAGTCTTCAATAAAGGAAGAATAAAGTGAGAAGGGGCCACCTCAGTTTACTGCACTGGAGGTTTGGGGGCTCTAAGGAGAGAGGTGCTGGTTGTGTACCACATAACTCCTGGGGGTGCCATTCACACAGTGTAATATAACTGATGCTTCCTGCAGTGTGCAACTCAGCTGCACAACTTGTTATACCAAGGGGGATAATGGAAAAATACTGTGGGGCAGTGTTTTTGACTGCTAGCATAATCAGAATTCAAGAGAGATATAGCTTAGACAAGTTATTAGGGATACCTTCCATTGGATTCCATACTAATCATATTGAGATTGCTTTCATTCTTTTGTTGAGGGACCTGTTTCATTGACTTTGTACCTCTACCTCTGGCTACTCTTTAGCAGACCTGTTAGGTATTATTCTTAATTGGCCACTGCTTTGATAAGTCAGCAGAAGGTATGTGTCTGGGCTTAGGAGGGGTTTCCAAATATTTCTTTTATAGCCACAGTGCTGGGTCAAGGCCAGGAAACTAAGGCAAACATGTTCTGTGATGATGCTTTGGTGTCACTGCATCCTTCCTTCTTCCTTTCCTCTCTTCTCCTGGGAGTTCTCAACTCTTGCTAGGAATACTACCTGAAATGATATGTGATTGATCTACTATAAGTCAGATACATTTTTGTCTATAGTTTTATACAGTAGCAGACTGTAGCCACACTGTGAAACTGGAACATTCTTACTCTTATTTGAATAAGAATGTCAAAAAGGCTTGTGACAGCTTTTTTGATTATGTAGCAAACATACTTACTGGTATGGCTCCTGGTATGAATGCTCCCATTCATGTGTCATGGTGACCAGAACTGGCAATGAAAACAAATATGCAGGCTCTTTGGCTGTGAAGGGCTCTGACTTTAATTTTTGGTGTGACAGTGTTTACTGTGGGACGTGTGTGTTTGAGCAAGTATGTGTTTCCAGACTTCCTGGGACACCCTTGCATTGTTCTTTGTCCTGTGTCCCCTCTCCCTTTCCTTGAACCTCAGATCTGGAATCACCCTGATGTGCTGTATGAAGCCCTTCAGAAGGAGAGCTTGGCCAATGAGCAGGACCTAGATGTGGAAGAACTTGGCTCTGCGGGGACCAGTACCCGCTGTCCACCACAGGGAACAAAAGGCAAGGGGGAGGATAGCCCCTTGGCTTCCTCAGTGGGAGAGGCAACCAATAGCAAGTTCCTACAGGGCGTTGGCTTCAACCCTTTCCAGGAGCGAGGCAACAACATCGTCACATATGAATGGGTAAGTCAAACAGATCCTTCAGGAACCATAAACTATTGCTGAGAAGGGGTGGTGCAAGTCCTGCCTGGGGAAAGGGTAGGGATGCACGGCTAGGGTCTCTTTATGGAATTACAAAGGTGGCCAGTGAGCTGCTGCCTTGGAAGGAAAGAATTTTATTTCTAGTGATCTGACCTTGCACCTGCTCCAAGCTGCCTTGTTTCTCTCTTGCAGGCCAAGGACCTTCTGACTAATTACCAGACTGGAGTCTTAGAAAACTCTCCCAAGATGGTACTGCTTTTCCACCTGATTGAGGAAAGTGTGAAGCTTGGGGACAAGATCCTTGTGTTTAGGTAGGATGAGAAACTTCCAGTTGAGGCTGTGTGTCTGTGGTAAAGAATGACAAAACCACCACAGAACAAGACCAAGGCCACTGCCCCCCTACAAGTGCTTATTGTGAGGACCTTCTTGCATGTTGTCTGTCTCTTGGAGTTTCTTTCATTGCCCAATTTGATTTCTCCACAGAGAACAATTTAGAACCCTAGGTTAGCATTGGAGTCTAATCTTTCAAATTCTGGCCTGTTTTTGTTTACTTTGAGAGCTAAGGATAGTTTTTACATTTTTAAAGGGTTATAAAAAACGTACAAAGAATATGCAGCAGAGACTCTATGTGGCCAAGAAAGCCTAAAATAATTGCTATGTGTCCTTTTACGGAAAATGTTTGCTGACCCTTGGTTTAATCTTCTGTCCCTCCCCAACCTTTTATTTTCGGTTTTAAGCTTTGTCTGTAAAGCCAAATAAGTGATGTAGTTTGCTCCAAGTTATATTCTCAGTCTGGCTAGAGCTTTGAGTCTCATTAAGACTTGACTCCCCAGGAAAATGAAGTTGATTGCTTCTCCTCCTTTATAATCTGACCAGATTATGCTCCAAGAAGAACCAAGTGGCAGGAGCCTGGCTCAGGAGCCTCAGAGTGAGGGCTTCCACATGTGACACACTTTGAGAGGACAGTAGTGATTCTAGCTTGGGGAGAGCCTAGTGTTGATTTTATGGATCACTTCTAAGGACACTGGCTCTCATGATATCTTGGAAGCAGTTGAGTGATTTTGTCTCTCTAGTAAAACCCATAATCATATCTGATGTATATTCATGCAGTGGTAGTGTTTAATGCTAAATGCTATTTGTTACTCTGCATTGAGCTAAACCCCAGAAACTTTCAACTGTGGAAGTGAAGAATGAAGAGAGTATTTTTCAGTGTGGTGGTAGTCATAAGTATGTGGATGACTCTGCTCCCATTATGTGCTAGGAAGGATACCCTTGGTTGTTCTTGGTAGAGTTACCTCTTTCTTTTTCTTTTTTTTTTTTTTTTTTGAGATGGAGTTTCACTCTTCTTGCCCAGGCTGGAGTGCAGTAGCGCGATCTTGGCTCACTGCATCTTCCACCTCCCAGGTTCAAACGATTCTCCTGCTTCAGCCTCCTAAGTAACTGGGACTACAGGCACGTGCCACCATGCCAGGCTAATTATTTTTGGATTTTTAGTAGAGATGGGGTTTCATCATGTTGGCCAGATTGGCCTTGAACTCTTGACCTCAGGTAATCCACCCACCTTGGCCTCCCAAGTGCTGGGATTACAGGCGTGAGCCACTGTGCTGAACCTAGAGTTACCTCTTTTTTTTTTTCCCCTTTTTTCTGAGACAGAGTTTCACTCTTGTTGCCCAGGCTGGAGTGCAACGGTGTGATCCTGCACTGCAACCTCTGCCTCCCAGGTTCAAGTGATTCTCCTGCCTCAGCCTCCCAAATAGCTAGGATTACAGGCGTGTGCCACCACACCCAGCTAATTTTTGTATTTTTAGTAGAGATGGGGTTTTGCCATGTTGGCCAGGCTGGTCTTGAACTCCTGACCTCAAGTAATCCACCTGCCTTGGCCTCCCAAAGTGCTGGGATTATAAGCTTGAGACACTGTGCCCAGCCTAGAGTTACCTCTTACTAGTGCTAGGTTCTGGAGCTCCCATTGTCAGAAAGTTGTACAAGAGTATGAACCTATTGGGAACAATGTTCCCTCAATTCTGGGAGCCATCTGAACAAAATGTTTTCCATTTCAGCCAGAGCCTTTCCACCTTGGCTCTCATCGAGGAATTCCTTGGAAAACGAGAAGTACCCTGTCCACCTGGTGCCGAGGGGCAAGGAGCACAGAAGTGGGTTCGAAACATTAGCTACTTCCGTGAGTTCATTGTTGCGTTGTTCTTGAAGCCTTGGCAAGGTCTGCTTAAGGGTTTCCTTTCCTTCTCTCTCTTTTCTTTTTCTCCACTCCATCAAATGCATAGGAATATTTGTGATTAGCCAAGGAGCAGGGGAATACTAAGAGCCAGTCGTTGCGTACAGGGTACTGTACTAGGGGCTGGGGGATTGAGAGAGATGGGAGAGTATAGAGAAATAGAAGGCATAGGCCTTCTCTTCATCTGAGATATGACAATTCAAGAACAATTGAGTGCCCTAACTGGGGTTCTAAGGAGGATAGAATCACTCTGGTGAGGATGATTGGCCAAGGCGTCTCAAAAATGGGGAGGATTTGAATATACGGGGCTATTGTTGCCTGAGGATCATTCCAGGCTGAAAGATCAGAGTGAACACAAGCCTAGATCATGCATTCTCTGTGGGGGAGGTAATACTTTAAAGGGCTGAACTTTTTTTTTTTGAGCAGAGGGTGGAAATCTTAACTTTTAAAATGTGTAAGTCACAGATATACATACAGTACATAAACAGATATACAGTATATCTGTGGTATTAAATTTCATGGAGGACATAGTGTCATTGGGGAAAAAAAATCATTCCTTAGTGGGGTGGTAATGAAAAAAAAGTTGAGAAATACAGACCTCAGCACTGCTGACATTTGGGCCAGATAATTCTTTGTTTTAAAGGGCTGTCCTGTATATTATAGGACATTTAGTAGCATCCCTGGTTTCTACTCACTAGATGGCAGTAGTGACAACCAAAATATCTCCAGACATTGCCAAATGTCCTGTGGGGAGTGGGAGTGTGGAGAAATCGCCCTCATTCCACTGCCCTAATGGAAGGATTTAGAGAGCTGGAGGTTCAGGGAGTAGCAGGAAGACCCCCACACAAGGTGTGGCTCAGAGCTTGCCCTATAACTCAGTGGTGAGCTGTGCTTGGAAACTGTTGGAACTCAGGTTGGAAAGGTAGGTTTGGGTCCTGACATAGAACCCCGGTACCAAGCAATTAAACTGTTGCTTCCTACAACAGTAGTAATTCAGTTTTCCAGGTGGTATTTCATGCCCTTAGTTTTGCTGTTTACTCAAGATGATAAGTGTTACCCTTACTATTTATGTTTCTTAACTGAAGTTTTTTTTTGTTTTTTTTTTTTGGGGAGACAAAGTCTCACTCTGTTGCCAGGCTGGAGTGCAGTGGCGCGATCTCAGCTCATTGCAGCCTCCGTCTCCCAGATTCAAGTGACTCTCCTGCCTCAGCCTCCCAAGTACTGGGACTACAGGCACAGGCCACCACGCCCAGCTAATTTTTGTATTTTTAGTAGAGACGGGGTTTCACCATGTTGGCCAGGATGGTCTCGTGATCTGCACACCTTGGCCTCCCAAAGTGCTGGGATTACAGGCGTGAGCCACTGCATCCGGCCCTGAAGGCTATTTTTTCTCCCTCTTTTGAGCTTCCCACCTTTCATTCATGTGTTTCATCCTACTGTTCCAGATGTATTTCCTTTATGTCTCCTTACAGCAAGTTCTTAGCCTCAGGAGCTTGTTAAAAATGCAGATTCCTAGTGGAGGAACATAATCCATATCAAAACACAAACTCTTAGTCCTTCTGCACTCACCAGAACTCACAAGACTGAGGCAGAGAGGTCACCTTGAGCCAGTATTTTCCAAATTCCCTAGGTGATTACTATACACTCTGAAGTCTAGGATTCTTGGCTTTAGAATTGACCTAAGAACTAAAGGGGAGAAATGTAGTTTATAATCCATGGTGCACCTGAGAATCACCTGGGGATATTTTCAAATTGTAGATGCCTGGGCCTTACTTACTGTAGGCCCATGATATGTCCAAGGGGTGAGATCTGAGCACTGTTGTGTTTCTGTTTGTTTTGCTCTTTAAAAGACATTGCCCAGTGATTTTGCTGTGTATCCTTGCTCTAATATATCCACTTCTTATGGTTTTCCTTCCTCCTAGGGCTAGATGGTAGCACCCCTGCCTTTGAGAGGGAGCGGCTCATTAATCAGTTCAATGATCCCAGCAACCTCACCACCTGGCTGTTCCTTCTTTCTACAAGGTGAGTGGATCCCAAGAGGTGAGGTCAAAGGAATCTGTACAGGCTGTTGGCCACCTGGGCTGGTACCCCAAAACTCCAAGTTCCCTCAGAAGAGATCAGCTTAGATTTGTAATTGTTTTTGGGGTCAGAGAGGGGACTTCAAAAGGAAATTAGGTTAGCAGGGCAGTCATGATGGTATCATAAAATTTTTTGAGACCTTCATTAACAATGGTTGTGGCTCATGCCTGTAACCCCAGCACTTTGGGAGGCCAAGGTGGGAGGATTGCTTGAACCCAGGGGTTCAAGACCAGCCTGGGCAACGTACTAAGACCTTGTCTCTACAAAAAATCAAACAATTAGCTGAGTGTGGTGGCATGCGCCTGTGGTCCCAGCTGCTTGGGAGGCAGAGGCAGGAGGATGGCTTGAATCTGAGAGGTTGAAGCTGCAGTGAGCTCTGATTGAGTCACTGCACTCCAGCCTGAGTGACAGAGTGAGACCCCATCTCATTTTTGAAAAAAACAAACAACAGCAACAAAAAATATCCAAGGGTTTTAATTGGCTTTTCTCTCAGGAGTGTTATGAGGCTTAGATGATGTGGTGAATGTGAAAGTGCTTTAAAAAGGAGAAAGTGCAAGGTAACTGTAAAAGGCTGATGACATTGTCTCATGCCAAGCAGCTTGAAGGCTGTGCTGCCTTCTGCCATCATAATGCCCTTGGCAGGCTGTGAGCCAGTCACTCTTCTAAGCTGTTGGACTAAAAATAGTGGAAACATCTGTGTGCAGAAGTTTCCCCTCACCAAGGAACATCACTCCAAGGCCAGGATGTGGGGGCCTTACTTGGTACAGAGAAGAGGAGAGTAAGTTTTCTTTCTGAGCTGGTAGACACTTTCATGTTGGATTTCAGGGCACAATTTTCAGTGCTTGAGGAATGTACTGTTTATCAGCAGGACAGCAAAATCCTTGAGTATGTTGTGCTTAGGGCTTAGGACAGAGTAATATTGGGGTAGAAGTCACAGAAGGCAAAACTGATTTGAAAACCTTTTTTAAGACTAAAGATTCTGTGATTGTTGGCTTGTCTTTTAAAGGGCCGGATGCTTGGGTGTGAATCTGATTGGTGCCAACCGAGTGGTGGTGTTTGATGCTTCCTGGAACCCTTGCCATGACGCCCAGGCAGTATGTCGGGTATACCGTTATGGCCAGAAAAAGCCCTGTTACATCTATCGCCTTGTGGCTGATTACACTCTAGAAAAGAAGATCTATGACCGTCAGATTTCCAAGCAGGGCATGTCAGGTGGGCCATCTTCCAGACTTCAGAGAGGCACATCTATACAGCCTTTTAGTATCAAGGGTGGGAGAGGAGGAGCAGGATATGGGAACACAGGCAGGCTTCGAGAAAGCCATCATTTCCTCCTATCTCATTCTGATTCACATTGCTTAAAAGGTAATTGACCTCAACTTGTTGAAGGTGAGTTTAATGATAACAAACCAAGCTCGTTATACAAGTTCTCCCCTTATATGATGTTTCCAGTGTCACCAGGACCTCAGACCTAGTCTTTGACTTTCAGATATGGGATGACTTTTCATTATTAGTGACAGTTATGCTACTTCTCTCTGTTGACCTTTACAGTTTTTAATGCGGTGTGCTGACTTTCTCCATGTTTTTATCCTTCTAGATCGGGTGGTGGATGATCTAAATCCAATGCTGAACTTTACCCGGAAAGAGGTAGAAAACCTACTGCACTTTGTTGAGAAGGAGCCAGCTCCCCAAGTTTCCTTGAACATAAAGGGGATCAAGGAGTCAGTCCTGCAACTGGCTTGTCTGAAGTACCCTCACCTCATCACCAAGGTAAGAACTTGGTATGCATGCAGTCCCCGGAGTGGGAATCTCTCTGTCAAGGGAGGCTTGTCTTGTAAGCTTGTTTTCTTCATCCAAGGTGATGTTTCATGCAGGTGACTTGGACTCAAGGGCTTCTTTTTCTTGCCCCACTCAGTCCCCCTCCCTTTCCCCAACCACTTACCCCCTTCCCTAATCTGGTCCTGGGAGTGCTAAGGTTAGCCATGTATAATAATTTGGCCAGTGTGAGTCTTCTTAGCAGAAAGAGAGGGGAAATTTCTAAAAATGTAGTTTGTTAATTATCTGAACTCCCCCATTCTTTTGATAGGGAAGGCAGGCTTTGATGTCTAAAGCTGGTCCTAGGTTAGAGCTATAAATTACACTCTTGACAGAAAGACAGTAAACCAGCCTGTGTATCTATGAGCAGTCTCTTCACTAGTGCTGGAGACAGCCAGCTCTTTTCTTGGTCTTAAAGTAAGGCTCATTATCCATCAGCCATATTGGTAACTAAATCAACATCCTCCTGTGTCCCCAGGAGCCTTTCGAGCATGAGTCATTGCTCCTGAACCGAAAGGATCACAAGCTAACCAAGGCTGAGAAAAAAGCAGCAAAGAAAAGCTATGAGGAAGACAAACGCACGTCAGTCCCCTATACCCGCCCGTCGTATGCGCAGTATTACCCTGCCAGTGATCAGAGCCTGACCAGCATCCCTGCCTTCAGCCAGAGAAACTGGTGAGTTGATGCTTCCTGGAACCCTTGCCATGATGCCCAGGTGGTATGTTGGGTATACCATTATGGCCAGAAAGGGGAGGGTCTCCTGCTGGGCCAGGCACAAACACCTTTCAACTTGTTCATATTTTAAACAAAAGCAGAGCCTACAACTTGTTCCTTGACTGCTGTGAATTGACAGGCTCTGCTCTAGGGTAGGTGTGAAAGTAGTTCAGCAGCCCTGCTGTTTTGAATGGTTCTGGTTTTGACTGCCCTAGCTGGAAAAGTGAGCTGCTGGCCCATGACCCAGGAGAGTCCTTCTGGACACCTGGATAGGAGTCGGGGATAAAACTTCCCAAAAAGAGGCCCAGCCATTCCACACAGGTGCATCTTACCCCTAGCACCTTAGTTCTAGGCCTCACTTAGCAGTGATGTTCAAGGATAAAGGATCTGTTCTCTCAGATTACAGTCAGGGAATCCTGCTGCTCCTAAGGGGATTCATTCTATGTCTGTGCCATGATCTGGAACCAAAAAATCTCCTTTTTGAGTACAACATCTAGACTTGTTCAGAATATTAACAGAATAGAAGCCAACTGCTAAGCAGAGAGAGAGGCTCCTTGTAAGATATTACAGAACAGTTATCTAGGTTTAATTTTTTTTTTTAATTTCAAAACAGTGCCTCACAGCTCTCACCCTCCACTTACTGATCAGATCTGCTACCTGATTCAGTAGCTTGCATTTTTAATTATTTGATTATCTTGAATTAAAAATAATTATTTGATGTGAACAGATTTAAATTTTCTTTCTTTTTTGCGACAGGGTGTTACTCTGTTGCTAGGCTGGAGTGCAGGGGTGCGATCACAGCTCCCTGCAGCCTCGACCTGCTGGGCTCAAGTGATCCTCGCACCTCAGCCTCCCAAGTAGCTGGGACTACAGGTGTGCATCACTATGCCTGGCTAATTAAAAAAATTTTTTTGACTGGGCGCAGTGGCTCACGCCTATAATCTCAGCACTTTGGGAGGCCGAGGCGGGCAGATCATCTGAGGTCGGGAGTTCAAGATGAGCTTGACCAACACGGAGAAACCCCATCTCTACTAAAAATACAAAAATTAGCTGGGTGTGGTACCGTGTGCCTGTAATCCCAGCTACTTGGGAGGCTGAGGCAGGAGAATTGCTTGAACCTGGGAGGTAGAGGTTGTGGTGAGCCAAGATCGTGCCATTGCACTTTGGCCTGGGCAACAAGAGCGAAACTCTGTCTCAAAAAAAAAAAAAAAATTTTTTTTTTCTTTTAGTCGAGATGAGGTCTCACTGTGTTGCTCAGACTGGTCTAGAACTCCTGGGCTCAAGTGATCCTTCCATATCAGCCTCCCAAAATGTCATAATTACAGGCATGAGCCACCATGCCCAGCCTAAAATTTTTGTTCCTTATTAAGATTCTCATGTTAAAAACAAACAAGCTGCAGCTCCCAGCCTGATCGATGCAGAAGTCAGGTGATTTCTGCATTTCCAATTGAGGTACCTGGTTTGTCTCATTGGAACTGGTTAGACAGTGGGTGCAGCCCACAGAGGGTGAGCCAAAGCAGGGCAGGGCATCGCGTCACCTGGGAAGCACAAGGGGTCTGGGGATTTCCCTTTCCTAGCCAAGGGAAGCCGTGATGGACTGTACCTGGAAAATTGGTACACTGCCACCCAAATACTGCGCGTTTCCAATGGTCTTAGCAAACGGCACACCAGGAGATTATATCCCGTGCATGGCTCAGTGGGTCCCACGCTCATGGAGCCTTGCTCACTGCTAGTGCAGCACTCCAAGATCGAACTGCAAGGTGGCAGCCTGGCTTGGGGAGGGATGTCCACCATTGCTGAGGCTTGAATGGGTAAACAAGCAGTCCGGAAGCTGCAGCTGGGTGGAGCCCACCACAGCTCAACCAGGCTTGCCTGCCTCTGTAGATTTCACCTCTGGGGGCAGGGCATAGCTGAATAAAAGGCAGCAGAAACTTCTGCAGACTTAAATGTCCCTGTTAGACAGCTCTGAAGAGAGCAGTGGTTCTCCCAGCACAATGTTTGAGCTCTGAGAATGGACAGTCTGCCTCCTCAGGAGGGTCCCTGACCCCCGTGTAGCCTAACTGGGAGACACTTCCCAGTAGGGGCTGACTGACACTCATACAGGTGGGTGCCCCTTTGAGACGAAGCCTCCAGAGGAAGGTTCAGGCAGCAATATTTGCTGTTCTGCAGCCTCTGCTGGTGATACCGAGGCACACAGGGTCCGGAGTGGACCTCCAGCAAACTCTAACAGACCTGCAGCTGAGGGACCTGACTGTTAGAAGGAAAACTAACAAACAGAAAGGAATAGCATCAACATGAACAAAAAGGTCATCTACACCAAAACCCCATCTGTACGTCACCAGCATCAAAGACCAAATGTAGATAAAACCACAAAGATGGGAAGAAACCAGAGCAGAAAAGCTGAAAATTCTAAAAACCAGAGCACCTCTTCTCCTCCAAAGGATCACAGCTCCTTGCCAGCAACAGAACAAAGCTGGACAGAGAATGACTTTGACAAGTTGACAGAACCAGGCTTCTGAAGGTCGGTAATAACAAGCTTCTCTGAGCTAAAGGAGGATGTTCAAATGCATTGCAAGGAAGCTGAAAAACCTCGAAAAAAGATGAGACAAATGGCTAACTAGAATAAACAGTGTAGAGAAGACCTTAAATGACCTGATGGAGCTGAAAACCGTGGCATGAGAACTATGTGACGCATGCACAAGCTTCAGTAGCCGATTTGATCAACTGGAAGAAAGGGCATCAGTGATTGAAGATCAAATGAGTGAAATGAAGTGAGAAAAGTTTAGAGAAAAAAGAGTAAAAAGAAACGAATAAAGCCTCCAAGAAATATGGGACTATGTGAAAAGACCAAATCTACGCTTGATTGGTGTACCTGAAAGTGACAGGGAGAATAGAACCAAGCTGGAAAACACTCTTTAGGATATTATCCAGTAGAACTTCCCCAACCTAGCAAAGCAGGCCAACATTCAAATTCAGGAAATACAGAGAACACCACAAAGATACTCTTCGAGAAGAGCAACCCCAAGACACATAATTGTCAGATTCACCAAGGTTGAAAGGAAGGAAAAAATGTTAAGGGCAGCTGGAGAGAAAGGTCGGGTTACCCATAAAGGGAAGCCTGTCAGACTAACGGTGGATCTCTCGGCAGAAACTCCAGTAATTGGAGACCAGCCTTGGCAACATAGTGGGACCCAATCTCAAAAGAGAAAGTCACTCTCTTTCAAAACTTCAGACTTTACTTCTGTCATTTCCCAAGATAGTATTGCTCAGGAATGGTCTCTTCTCTTTTCCTCCACCGGCATCCCCCTCTTTTTTTCCCCCCCTCTTTTTTGGGCTTTTCTGTGTAACATCAGGAGTGGACTAAATCTGAGCCCAGTGAGAAAAGCCACATGGAGAGAAGATGTGACAAATGGTCCAGGCTGGCTATAAGGAGATGTCAGCTTTGTTTCTGGCTTAGTTCTGGCCCTATGGGGGCACCAGCTTCTCACAGCATTTGATGAGTTCATGATCCTGCTGAGTTTTTTTTTGTCCACATGGGTACATGTGAGGAACACTTCTTACCCAAATTCTTAGTCTTAGTGCCTGCAGGGTATGAGGCTTTGGCTGGGTTTCTGTTACATTGATACCTGACCAGGGCCTCTAACTCCTGCCAAACCATCCTAGGAAGACATTGGGGAAACAGGCCAGATAGTACAGGTCTGGGGCCCATCTGGGAAGTTGGAGGTCCACAGGGACAAAGGGCCGACCAAAGGGGCCTTTAAAAACCTAAGAGCAATGTGATTGAGGAGTCATGCAGACCAGCTCCAACAGCAGAGTGGTATAAAAGTGTTATTTTATGTGCCAGTCTTCAGTCAGATGAGGAAGAATGTATCAGTCCAAGGGTTTCCACACCCCCCGACCTCCGCCCCAGGCCCAAAGACAAAAGATGCAGACTTAAGAAAGCTTGTAGACAGGGACTTTTCAAAAATCTTAAATCAGTAGAAGCCTGGCTTTTGTACACAGTGCTTTGGCAGCTGCTGCTTGTGTTGTTGTCATGACTGGAGGGGCACTTTGAGGGTTGGTCCAGGCTGGAGCTAGGATGAACTCAATGAAAAGTAATGCAGAAGAGAGAGAGAGGTGTCTGTATTACTTATTGAGACTCAAGGTTTCAGAGAGAAAGTAAAGATGTTTAAAGTTGGGACAGACTATTTTTTAGGATCACCTAAACATGTGTCATTACATGGCCCGTTTTCCATGGGTGAATGGGGAAAATTCTGCCCATCTCAACTTAACATACACCGTGGTCAGGAGAACTTTTCCTGCCTTATTGCATCTTAACAGCTTCCTGACTTCCCTTTAGGGACTAACTCCTAGTGTAGATAGTCCAGGTTCTAGAGGAGCAAATACTGTCTTGCGTGTCCAGAAAATATTATTCCACCAACATCTGATTATCCTTAGACTTTGACAGATATTATCCCTCTGCCTCTTTTGCTACAATTGAGTCCTGCCTTCTAGTCTCCTTTTGAATTAACCAGACCCTGCAGATTCTTCTGATCCTTCTCTGAGCAGCAACTGATGGTGTAGAATGGGACAGCCTAGAGAGGCTCTGTAGCCTTTGGAGAAAGGTAAGAGTTGTTCTGGCAAACTCTTTAAGTGTCCTTGTCTTTCTCTTACAGGCAGCCAACTTTGAAGGGTGATGAAAAGCCTGTGGCCAGTGTTCGTCCTGTACAGTCCACCCCCATCCCCATGATGCCCCGGCATGTCCCACTGGGAGGCAGCGTAAGCTCTGCCTCCAGCACAAATCCATCCATGAACTTTCCGATCAACTACTTGCAGCGTGCAGGAGTCCTTGTGCAGAAGGTGGTCACCACGACAGGTGGGAACTCCTGGGTTCTGTGGCAGAGCTGCTGTCCCTTTTAAAATTACTTTGTTCATTTAGGAAGTATCTATTAAACACCTTTTGTATTTTTGACCTTACTACACTTGGCACTGTTGATAAAAAATAGGGAAGACAACAGTCCCTGGTCTTGAGGAATTTGGATTCTAGTGAAATATCTTGAGAATAACAACACAGAACTGGGTTTTCTTGGATTTGGTGGGTGAGATAGACTCTGAGCGCTGCAGGAATTGTGGAAATGTCACTGGAACACAGGGTCGGTCTCAGGTTCTTACAGAGCTGTGAATATGCTGAACCCTGCCTGACTGTAGAGCCATCTGGGTTTAAAAGACAGCTGTCAACCTTTGTACATAATTAGAAGACCTGAATTGTCACTTGCTCTGCCTTTGCGAGTCTGATGTAAATTGAGCATGGTGGGCCAGTCAGCAGTGGTGGGAGGTAGCCAACCCATCCACTCCAGGAGCTTGTTCTGTAATTCAGTATATTAAGATGGAGAACATTTTGTGATCCTGTTTTTTATCTTGTTATTTGGAAATATTTGTTATATATAAATTATTATTATTATTACTTTTTTGAAGATGGAGTCTTGCTCTGTTGCTCAGGCTGGAGTGCACGATCTTGGCTCACTGCACTCCCAGGCTCAAGTGATTCTTCTGCCTCAGCTTCCCGAGTTGCTGGGATTACAGGCATGCACCACCATGCCCAGTGAACTTTTTTATATTTTGGTAGAGATGGGGTTTCACCATATTGTCCAGGGTGGTTTCAAACTCCTGAGCTCAGGCAGTTCATCCGCCGTGGCCTCTCAAAGTGCTGTGATTACAGGTGTGAGCCACTGCACCCGGCCAATATATAAATTTTAATGAAAAGATCTTAACTGATTTTTCTAAGTAAAAAATTTGAAACGAGTGAAAAAGAGAGCCCCTTGTAATCCTATTATCTACTAATTCTTGAAAATACTGTTTCCCAGGTGTGGGGTAATGCCAGCAAGGAAGAAGATTAGGCCATTTTTGGAGCCTAAAGTGATGTGGAGCAGATACGTGCAAATAGTTTAGGGAGGAGGAAAAAAATACACAGAAACAACCATCTGAATGAACTAAAACATTTTTCACACCAAAAACTATGAATTTCTATTTAAATCAAGGGAAATTGATTACAAAGATAATCAGCTCAGATTTCTGGCGAGGTTCCTGTTTTCATAGTATTCTTTGTTTAGATAATTGTGAAAGATCCTGCTTGCTTTACCTTCCTTGGTTTTGGACCTATGTCCCACTGAGAGGCTGTAGGGAAACCAATGAAGAACTGGGGTAGATGTGGGACTTTGCAATTTCCCCCCCTCCTTCAGTCAGGCCCCGTGCAATCTAAATGTAAGATCTGTGTTTTTCCTAGATATTGTTATTCCTGGACTGAACAGCTCCACAGATGTACAGGCAAGAATTAATGCTGGTGAGAGCATCCACATCATCCGTGGGACAAAAGGTAAGAGCCTGACCAAGGACCTGTGCCCTGCCTTTGGTTGAAAGTGCTGGGCTGGGAAGAAGAATAAATATGTATGACTTGAGCTAGACAGGGCATAGGAATCATCCCATTAGGATGTCACGTTCAGGAACTGAATGAGAAAATAGCATTTGTAGGAGCTTAGGGGAGTTGGGTTGAGCCCATAGGATTATTAGTCAGTGGTTTAAAAGAAGGAAATTAAGGTCCCTACATTTCTCTATCTTGCTGTCCTTTTTTTTTTTTTGAGACGGAGTCTCGCTCTGTCGCCAGGCTGGAGTGCAGTGGCGCGATCTTGGCTCACCGCAACCTCCACCTCCCAGGTTCAAGCGATTCTTCAGCCTCAGCCTCCCAAGTAGCTGGGACTACAGGCACGTGCCACCACGCCCAGCTAATTTTTGTACTTTTTTTTTTTGTTTAGTAGAGACGGGGTTTCATTATGTTGGCCAGGATGGTCTCAATTTCTTGACCTCATGATCCGCCCACCTTGGCTTCCCAAAGTGCCGGGATTACAGGCGTGAGCCACCATACCCGGCCCTTACTGTCATTTTTATGAGAATCTTGGGATGAGACAAGTAGACACAAGGAGACCAAAATTGGAGGGAAAGAGCGGTGGAATGGGTTATAAGCCTACATATATTTACCCACTTGCTTGGAGCAGGGTGGGAGTCCCCTGATAGAAAATGTATTATGTGGATGAATTACACATGGGTTGCATGCTAGAAGCTAGAATTTTTGCATGTGGTAATTTGAAAAGTCCACATCTGCCTCTGTCTTCCTTACAGAGGGACATGAGATTGGTGGAATAAAAAAGCTGGGCTGAACAGTGTTGAGACACAATCTAAGCCTGTTTTTCCCCCTCTTTTCTGCACCCACATCTCCTAACCAAGCCTGTTTTACATATTAGCCTTTAAGCCCCATGATTGTGTGAGGCTCTTTGAGACTTTTTGTTCAGTAGAGAGATTTTGCCCTAGCTTCTATTGGATTAGAATACCTTTGAGGTTAGGGAAAAAGTGCCATGAAATACCCGGACTCACAGAAAACACCATTCCCAGCCTCCTTACTGGATTCTTCCTAGTCTAGATCCCAGCCCCCTTTACTGCTCTCTTCCTAGTGTATAGCAGGAGTCACCAAACTCTATGCCCCATGGGCCAAATCTAGCCTGCTACCTGTTGTAATATCTGCAAGATAAGAATGGGTTTTACATTTTTAATTGGTTGAAAAAAAAATCAAAAGAGTAATATTTTGTGACATGTGAAATTATATGAATTTCACATTTCAGTGTCCATAAAGATTTATTGGAGAACAGTCATGCCAAGCTATTTTTGTGTTACAGCAGCAGAATTGAGGAGTTTATGACTTATAAAGACTTTATGACTTATAAAGCTCTTATAAAACTATCTGGCTCTTGTTTTTGTTTTGTTTTGTTTTGTTTTTTGAGACGGAGTCTCGCTCTGTCATCCAGGCTGGAGTACAGTGGCGTGATCTTGGCTCACTGCATGCTCCACCTCCCAGGTTCATGCCATTCTCCTGCCTCAACCTTTCGAGTAGCTGGGACTACAGGCGCCCACCACCACGCCCAGCTAATTTTTTGTATTTTTAGTAGAGACCGGGTTTCACCGTGTTAGCCAGGATGGTCTCAATCCCCTGACCTCGTGATCCTCCTGCCTCGGCCTCCCAAAGTGCTGGGATTACAGACGTGAGCCACCCTGCCTGGCCCAAAAACTATCTGGCTCTTGTAAAAAAGTTTGCCAACTCCCGGCCTAAAGGCAGCACTGACATTCAAGGAGGTTGATCAAATGACATACCCAAGGCTGAAGAGAAGATAGATTAGTGCCTTGTGGGAATAGAATGCAGGTCTTTCTTGAATTATTCCTACTAGGGGAGAGAGGATATTGAAGCAATAAGGTTCCTTCCTTCCAGATCAAGAGGAGGACCTGGGCCAGAGTGCCTGGGAACATAGGATGCCAACTTACTCTCTTTTGTAGTACCTTATTTATTTCTCCATTGCATTGAACCCTTCCTGATACTTTGTGGTGTAAGTCTCTGTCTCCCTCTAGAGACTAAGCTCCATGAGACAGGGACTTTTTCTGCCTTGTGCATTCTAGTGTCTAGAACAGTGCCTGGCACATGATAGTCATGTAATCAATGTTTGTGAAATAAATGAATAATTATGAGTCCATAGCTCAGTCACCCCACTCCTTATTTCAGGGGTCTTGGGAGATGGTATAGCTAATTGCATAGCTATTTACAAGCCCATGGCGCATAGCCCGGAGTTTCCCAGGATTGGCTGTATTGAATGTCTGCTTCTAACTGTCTTCCTCATGTCTGTTCTTAGGGACATACATCCGTACCAGTGATGGACGGATCTTTGCTGTCCGGGCAACTGGCAAACCAAAGGTTCCTGAAGATGGTCGGATGGCTGCCTCAGGTGTGATGGCTTTTACTTTCCATTTTACTTTTCAAACATTTGTTTGCTTTATTTTGGTTAGGTATTAACTTATTATGTGAACAGATAATATGTACATGGTTCACAATTCAGAATGTACACAAAGAGGTAAAGTGAAAAGTAAGGTTTTTTTTTTTTTTTTTTTTGAGATGGAGTTTCGCTCTGTTGCCTAGGCTGGAGTACAATGGTGCAATCTCGGCTCACTGCAACCTCCGCCTCCCATGTTCAAGTGATTCTCCCGCCGCAGCCTCCTGCGTAGCTGCGATTACAGGAGCATGCCACCACACCCAGCTAATTTTTGTATTTTTAGTAGAGATGGGATTTCACCATGTTGATCAGGCTGGTCTCGAACTCCGGACCCCGTGATCCGCCTGCCTCGGCCTCTCAAAGTGCTGGGATTACAGGCGTGAGCCACCACGCCGGGCCATAAGTTTTTCCTCCACCATGGTCGCAGCCATCCATTGCTCCTCCTTTTTTTTTTTTTTTTTTTTTTGAGACACAGTCTTGCTCTGTCACCCAGGCTGGAGTGCAGTAGCGCAATCTCAGCTCACTGCAACCTCCGCCTCCCGGGTTCAAACGATTCTTCTGACTCAGCCTCCTGATTAGCTGGGATTACAGGTGCGTGCCACCACACCCAGCTAATTTTTGCATGTTTTGTAGAGATGGGGTTTCACCATGTTGCCCAGGCTGGTCTCTAACTCCTGACCTCAAGTAATCCACCCACCTCGGCCTTCCAAATTGCTGGTGTTAAGGTGTGAGCCACCTTGCCCAGCCAACTTTCTTTGTATTTTTAAAACAAATGCTAACATACCATAAAATACTATTTACTCCTTTTTTCACTCACCAGTAATAGTTTATTCCTTATCATTTCTTCTAGATATGTCTCCTTGAAGGTTCGCACAGGATGAGCTATAACACAATGTATTAACTAGTTCCCTGTCAACATACATTTTGATTATTATACTCCACCATCACTGACAGTGCTTTTTCAGAGGTGGTTATATCTATAGGATATGTTCCTTAAAGTGGGATTGCCAGGTCAAAGGGTGTATGTGTGGCACATGAACAGTGTTAAGAACTCTTGCCAAGTTCCCCTCAGTGGGAGTGGTTCTCATTGAATCCTCCCACCCCAAGCTAGAATTCTAGAGGGCTAGAATGCTCTTATTCCCTGCTTTGTATTATGGAAATTTCAAATTTTCATACATACAGAAAAGTTGAAAAATAGCACCATGAGCACCCATATATCCTGCACCTAGATTTAATGATTGTTGGTTTTCATAAACCTTCTTCTTTCTCTCCCTCCCTTTCTATTATTTGAGTCATTTGTAAGTTGAAGATATCATGTCATGTTTTTCATCATGTCATTTTATCTCTAAGTACTTCAACATACATCTGCTAAGATTAAAGATATTCTCTTCCTAGCCACAATATCATTATTACACTAAAGAAAGCTAACAGTTCCATAAAATTACCTAGTATTCCAAAATTGAGATTCCTATTTGTCCCAGTTGTCTTTCATAGCTATGGATTTTGTTTTGTTTTCAAATCAGAATGAAGTGCTTTTTAGCTTGATTTTCCTCTTTCTCCCACACTGATCACTGTCTGTCTCTTACTGCCAGAAAAAGTTTGACTAGTTTTAAGAATGATCTCTTAAGTGTTTCATATCCCTTATCTCATAGGATTTACTTTGGTATACTTTTACAGTTTGGGGAACTGGGGTGCAGAGAAGTTACATGTCTTGTCATAGATAGACTTATTTCTGGGGTCAAAGAATTTCTTTCTTTGTGACTAGAAAAGGTTGACTGGGTGATGTTGTTTAGACATCAAACTATTATAATTTTGGGGACTACAGGATAGGATTTTTTTTAATGGAGTTTTCTCCTCCACCCTTCTTCTCTCCCTGGCCACTCTGGTTCTCAGTTACCTACATTTTGTCCCCAGGTTCCCAGGGACCTTCTTGCGAGTCCACAAGCAACGGCAGACACAGTGCCTCATCACCCAAAGCCCCTGATCCTGAGGGGCTGGCCAGGCCCGTCTCTCCTGACAGCCCAGAGATCATCAGTGAGCTTCAGCAGTATGCAGATGTGGCTGCTGCCCGGGAATCCCATCAGAGCTCCCCAAGCGCCAGTGCCGCCCTGCCTGGCCCCCCGGCCCAACTTATGGACAGCAGTGCTGTTCCTGGGACAGCTCTCGGAACTGAGCCTCGACTAGGGGGTCATTGCCTCAGTAGTTCCCTCTTGGTGACTGGCCAGCCCTGTGGTGATAGGCACCCAGTGCTGGACTTAAGGGGCCACAAGCGAAAGTTGGCCACACCACCTGCTGCCCAGGAGTCATCCCGCCGGCGGTCCAGGAAGGGTCATCTGCCAGTCCCCGTGCAGCCGTATGAACACGGGTATCCAGTCTCTGGCGGGTTTGCCATGCCACCCGTCTCCTTAAACCATAACCTCACCACCCCCTTCACCTCCCAGGCTGGGGAGAACTCCCTGTTTATGGGCAGTACCCCCTCCTACTACCAGCTGTCCAATTTGCTGGCAGATGCCCGCCTGGTGTTTCCAGTGACTACTGACCCTCTGGTGCCAGCAGGCCCCGTCAGTTCCTCTTCCACGGCTACCTCAGTCACTGCCAGCAACCCCTCCTTCATGCTCAACCCTTCTGTGCCAGGGATACTACCCAGCTATTCACTCCCATTCTCACAGCCACTCCTGTCGGAGCCGAGGATGTTTGCGCCTTTTCCTTCCCCTGTCTTGCCCAGCAACCTTTCGCGGGGCATGTCTATCTATCCAGGCTACATGTCCCCACATGCAGGCTACCCAGCTGGTGGCCTTCTACGGTCCCAGGTGCCTCCATTTGACTCTCATGAGGTCGCCGAGGTGGGGTTCAGCTCCAATGATGATGAGGATAAGGATGATGATGTGATAGAGGTCACTGGGAAATAGCTGGGGAGCCCCTCCCCACCTCACTTGGGGCCCCCAGCAGGTTGCCCACCAAGCTGGAAGGCAGTGATTTAGACTTTTTGAGAATAGGACACTTGGCAGGAGGGAAAAGGAAGAGGACAAAGGAGGGTGGTTGGCCAAAGTGGCAGAGCTCTGTTGCTGTTTAACAAAAGAGGCGAAAAAAAAAAAGGTCCAACAGAGCAGCAATAGTGGGAAATCAGGGACCCAAAACAGGGATGGAGGGGCAGTGCAGCCTCTTTTCCTTCCTGCCTTGCTTATGCTGTCTGCTTGCTTGCTCGCCCATCTGAGTGTAGAAGCGCACATCCCATTTCTGTTTTTGGGAACATTCTCTCCCAAGAGAGCTGCCTTACTAGGTGACTTAGCTTGGCCTGGGGAGGGGATTGAAGGGAGGGAGAATGAGTGAGAGAAGGAGGGTGGGTAGCAGGAGCAGACTGTGATCCCATGTGAAGTGGGGTCTTTTTAGGGGTTGGGAAGGAAGCTGACCAGGTATGTGTGTTTGTGAGTGTGTGGGTGTATGTTTATGTATGTATGTATGTATATGTATGGAACAGAGCAGGGGTGAAGGTGGGAGGGGAGGGAGGGAAGAACTAAGAGGGAAACTGAAAAATGAATTTATCTTTCTTTAAATGGAAGTCAGTTTGGTGGTTCATGGCACCTATTAGTGTGAACATCAGGGTGAGCCCAGAAGAGCCATGGAAATCACAAGTTTCCTTCTAGATGGGTGAAGAGAAGGCCCAGCTAACTCAAGTGTCTGGTTTTCAGAGCCACATTTGTGTGAGAATGTGGGGAAATTCATGAGAGAAAATGGGCATTACCAATCTATGTCTCTTAACCCCAGTGGCTATCTCTGAGCAGCTCTCCCTTTCCAGCGTGGAAGGTTGTCTGTGTGCAGAGGCTGGGAGGGAGAAGCACTGCAGTATGTGAATGAAAGGTCATAGAGTTGTGGCTGGAAAAGACATTTTTCACCAGGGTAGAACTGAGCCTCCAGCTGCCTATCCTGGTAGTCTTTCCTGTTTCTTTCCTTCCCCTTTAGAGAGCTCCATGTTAATTTATTTCTTACAGGCAATTATTTATTACTTGGACTTTTCATGTGTCTTGTTTATTTGGGGGTGGGATGGGGGGAGGTTAGGGGTAAGGAGGGTAGGAGATAGAAAGGGAAGTTTTAAGATATCCCAGACCCTATAGCTACTGGTGAAAAACAATCCTGGATGGATGGTAAATTGACCAGGGAAAGAGTTAGGTTTGACCAAGGTTTGGATTAAACAACTATATTTTTGAGAGATGGCTTTTCAGGAAGATCAGGGAATCCTGAGACTGGATAGTTAGTGGAGGGTGGGACTCATTCCACAGAAATTGAAAGTTGTGATCATAGAGTTTGCAATTGGAAAGTAAGAGACCCCAGATTTGGAGCTATATCCTCCTGGGATGACCTTAGAGGCTGGCTCTCTATGCTGAATAGTGAAGCTGTGGATAGGTGGTTGCTGGGTTGAGGGATTATTGATTTCTTGTTAGGAAATGTCTTCAGGTAGTCCATGTAGGCCTGGTGTCTGCTGCCTCCATATTTGAAGGAACATGGAGGAGCCCTTTCTCTGTAGGAGCCCTAAGTCTGGGTTTTACCTTAAAAGAACGCACCAGTCATTCTGGGTCTCCCATTATTGCCATTGCCAGGGGAGGGTCGTCTAGTCCTTAAGCATAAACACTGGCTGTCTTCCTATTGGTGTCCCTGCCCCCTCTGTATCCACCACCCCAAGACTTTGCCAGACGGTTCTTTATGATGAACAAACTTTGGCTTTAGAGCTTTACCACTTACCCATGGCTCCCTCCTTACTGGGCAGGTGCTGTACCTGCCTCTTCCCAGCCCAGAAGGCAGCTTAGTCAGGTTATCCCAGTAGTAGCTCCTGCAGTTCTTCTGACCAGCCCATTTCCATCTTTGGAGGGCCTTAGCAGACTCTGGGGTATTGTCCTCAGAGAAGAGACAAGGACATGATGGATGGGATGCATGTGTATATGTGTGTTTGTCTGCTGTCCAATAACACCAAAAGTGGAACTTAAGAAGCTTTGTGTTTTCATAAGCACCCTGCCAGACACTTAACTCTTCTACTCATGGAAGCCTTAGATCTACAATTTAGCTATGCAAATTATTTTAATAATTTAAAAATAGCAGTTCCAACCAGTGCTTTCTCTTTCAGATGCATCCCAAGAATGGATGGTGAAGGGACTCAGTTGGAGTGGGCTCTCAGGTTGAGGCTGGTGCAGTAGGAGTGAGCTAGACTGAATCTCCAATTTACAGGACATACTCAGAACCTGGGTTACACTGATGCCTCTCAGGCTCTGGAGCACTGGGATCCCAGAGACGCATGTGTGCAAGTGTGTATGTGTGTGTGTGTGTGTTTTGTCGGGAGAAGGGGGTATTTCTGTGTTCACTTCTAGGAAATCACTGTACCAACCTCCAAGAATACGGAAACCTTCCCAGCCGGGAACTGAAACCATTCCCTGGAGGGATGGGCTTGACTTTTGAAGTCGACAGAAAGTAAATGGGTATTCTGAGAGGCAGCACATGCTTACTCTCTACCCAGTGTTCCAGGGACTGGGTCTTGCTTCTACTCAGCAGAGGCCATCATTCTGAGAGGCTGACCTGACTAGAGAAGACTTTCTCTCATATGTGCAGTTTCTATTGTGTAGAGGGGTTGGGGGTGGGATCATGGGAAATTGGAGTGCTACCAGGTCCGTGGTTTTTGCTTTTTTTTTTTTTTAAAGAAAAGAACCTGAAAACACTTCTGACTTTTCCGCTGTCTCTTTATGTGTGCTGGTAGGCAAATGTGCATGCATACCAAACATAAGCATGTTTGTGAGGGAAGCGGGAAGTATCTCAGAGCCTAAGAACCATGTTTTACAGTTTCTTTGATCATAAACACTTGGTGGTGTCTTCCACCCACCATCCAGGCCTGAGTCGGGGTTGTGGCTGGTAATAAGAGGGAGGGCAGAAAATCAGGCCTAGGCGTTTTCCCTTACCATTGTCTTCATGAAATGTTTTCAAGGGCCTCTCAAGCCCCATTCATCTGGTTTAGCCAAGTTCTCAGCCTGGGGAACACAGTACTACTTAATGATTCAGGTTTACCATTTATAGTGATGCTTGATTTCCTTAATATATTTGTAGATAAAAATTGAACAGGGACAAAGTAGCTATTTAAGAAAGGAAGTGAACCATGTTGGGTCATATCATTTTATTTAGATTGGATATCTATGAAGTCCACACTTCTTTGAGTTATGCTTCTTAGCCATCTATCTCATCATCTCCTGATTTAAGGATAATTCTGTCTGGTCCTTGGAGCTCTCTTCCCTAAGAATTAGTGTGTGGAGTTTCTATATGCTTGTGATTCACAACTAAATATGAAATTTCTCAATTCAGGAGCAGGAAGCAAAGTGCTGGGGTAAAGTTTTGCAGATTGGTTGAAACACTTAGCCAAACTTAAGTGACCTGGGTAGGACCATCACTCCCAAAGTTGTCAGCAGAGAAGGGCCCTCTGTGTCAGTCTATTCAAGCCTGGTATTGTTCTGAAATTAAGTCCTTATCCCATGGAGAAGGTCTTCTGGGGGCTTTACATTCTTTGTTACTAGTGTTCTGGATATTACCTTCTGCTTTCCACTTCTTTTTTTTTTTTTTTTTGAGATGGAGTCTTGCTTTGTTGCCCAGGCTGGAGTGCAGGGGCATGATCTTGTCTCCCTGCAACCTCCAGTCACGGGTTCAAGCGATCCTCCTGCCTCAGCCTCCCAAGTAGCTGGGATTACAGGTGCACACCACTACGCCCAGTAAATTTTGTATTTTTTAGTAGAGACGGGGTTTCACCATGTTGGTCAGGCTGGCCTTGAACTCCTGACCTCAAGTGGATCCGCCTGCTTTGGCCTCCCAAAATGTTGGGATTACAGGCATGAGCCACTGCTCCCAGCCCCCACTTCCTTTTGATTTCTCAGAAGATCAGTCTTTCCCTTCTGAGCCATGGCCTTCTGTGCACCCAGCTCAGTGGCTCTTCACCTCCAAAACTAGGTGAAGTCATCCTTCCCCGAAAGGACACCGGGGAGATGTTCTGGCCCTCTGCTGACTACTCCCAGGAATCAGTATCTCAAGGACTATTTGAGAATGCTGTGCTCTCCATTGGTCACCTTCAGACTCTGTTCCCCTGCTGCCAGCTCTTCTGCCCTGTGTATTTTGCTGTGATCCCCTTAATGGCTTTTCTGTGCTACTAGCTTGGCCCTAGGCCTTTTATGAATATCTGAGTCTTATAACGATGAACTTCTTGAGCAGGCAGTGTCCAACTTCTTTGCTCTTCAGGGACCTGAGTGTGCACCTTTCGCTTTTGCAGGTCTATTTGACATAGTAATCTAGTGCTTTGGGGAGGGGTAGCCAAGCAGGCTGCAGTGTCTGCAATGCAGAGGGCTT